ATCCCATCCACTCCTGCTGCGTTGTGGCACTTGAGCTTGTTCACACACGCCTCAACCTCGTCCTCAGTGAACTCCTTTTCTAGTTCTACGTTCCCAACGTCTGCCTTCGATGTCTCTTCTTCTTTTTGGGCCCATGCGTCCACCTCCTTCTTAAACACTTGGTCATAAGCTTCACTCTCCACCGGCACTCCAAGTCTCTTGTAGTGTTCTGCTAGAACTTCCCTTTTTTCCTTCCCACTGCTGACTAATCCACCGTTCATACCTCGCAAAGTTGCTACCCCTGTAACCCCCCCTTGCGCGGTCTTTTTTAACATCCACCAATCCCTTCCCACATCTGCTTGACGTTCCCCTCCAGGCCTCCGTTGGCCTTCTGCACTACTTCGTCCCAAATACACTTTTTCTTCTTTTTCACTAGTCCCTTCACCTGTTTTCTCTTGGCCCTGTACTTTTCCCAACTCTCCTCAGACGCCTCACTCAGGTACTGCTTGAAGACTTCTCTACGTTCCCCTATTTCTTCTTTCAGCTCGTCATCCCACCACTTAACCGATACCCCACATCGTACCACCTTCGTTCCCACTACTCTCTCTGCCGTTGCGTTCACGATGGACTCCCACCCTTCAATCACCCTGTCCCCTGCTGCTTGTACGTCTACCTGTCCGTCTTCGACGCTTCTCAGCAGTTTTCTGAAGGGTTCTACACTACCAGCCAGTCCCTTCTGGAACCCGTGTCCCCTCGTCTTCCAAACGCTCTACTTTCCACCGGAACACTTTCTTCTGTTTTTTACTCTCCATCTTTCTAGATCGGTCGATGCCCATATGAGGAAGTGGTCGGTCGAACCTATGTCTATCGCACTTACGTGCAGCTCTGGGATCTGTGCGCACGCGAGAGGGGGGGGGGGCGATACCACCGAACGCTGTTGCGACAGGGCTGGGGCTGCCGACGCGGACGGCACCACCGTAGATCCGACCGGTACAGCCGCCGACATCGTGGCTGATGGCGATGACCCTGACGTCGCCCTTACAGCGGTTTCGGCACGAACATGGCGCCCTACAGGAGCTCCCGAAAAGCTCGAAACGTGGTCGTGCGGCGGTGTCAGATGCGTTCGTGGGGAAAACGATGGGGAAGGTGGTGGCACGCTAGGGGCGTGGGAGGGCACAGGAGGTGGTACATTCGTGTCGGCAGCAGCATCCACAACTTGACCAGGCGTTTGCGCTCGTGAGTACTTGTTCCAACAGCATTTCAGTACGGGAAGCCGAAGTCGATGCATGTGATGCAGCATGACGTGGTGACTCGACACGTTCATCCAAAGGCAAGGAAGATGTGGGATGATCCATAACGGCATGGGCAGGGGCATGGCTTTTCACGGCGGCTGAGTATTCACGAAGTTGCATGTTGGCAAGTTTGAACGCCACAGAAGACATGGTCGGTTGGCCTACATCAGCGGGTGGGGGCAAAACAAGCGGTGAAGAACAGAGGGAACCGTCTTCGGAAGCATCCTTGTTTTCCCCCAACAACCCAGAGCTACGAAATTCACCCCGATCATACATCACTTGCCTGTTACCGTGGCCTGACCTCCGTCCCCCTTTCCCGCCGCGACCGCTGTCAGTGCTGGTCGCCCTGCTGTTCCCCCCGCTCCGGTTTTGGCTCCGGCTGCGGCTACACCTAGACGAAGGCGTGTTGATCCCCGGACGGTCTCCGCTCCGCCTGCGACCACTCCTAGACGAAGGCGTGGTGCGCTGGTGACGGTCTGCGATTCGGTTCCTTCTCCGGCGGTGGCGGCTCGCCGGCGAAGACCTGGTACGCTGGGTCCCCGCGGCTTGCCCTCGCCCGCCATCTCTGGTGCCGTGTACTCGCGAAGACTGGTCGAAGCGGCGGTGATCGTCCGTCCCGCTCTTGTTCGTCGAATCTTGGTCACCCCAACGGTCCTTCCAGCTCTTTGACGCAGGAGCCGTCGACCGACTGTAGTCTTTTTTCCCTCCAGAAACATGTGCAGGGCGTGAAGATGCCTGCCGGGGTGCTTGCAGATCGTGCTTGAAATCGCTGTTTGCGGCAGCACGAGCAAGAGGCAGCTGGAGTCCTCCATCATGGGTCACCAGCGACGTTCCTTGGGGACCGCTCGTAAAGGAGGCACGACGGAAAGCAAAAAAAAGCCGGAACACGGACTGCCGCGAAGAAGGCGCAAGCTCCGCGATGTAGGGGGCAGAATAAACGTGTCCAAATGCAACAGTTTCGGGGTAGGGAAATTGAGCAATCACAAGTTGTTTGATGCCAGCTCATGCAAAAAGAGCTTCCATTTTGCTCGCACCATGCCAAGTGATGTCGGGGACTGGTCTTACTCCGTGGTTGCGGCCGCAAACTATGCTCCGTCTTCAGCACCGGCCGAAGGACCAAACGTCACCGAAAACTCCGGAGTCGCCGCCCCCTCCCGCTCCTTCTCGGTAGTCGGAGTAGCCGCCACCTCCCACCCCTTCTCGTTCGCCGGAGTAGCCGCCACCTCCCGCTCCTTCTCGTGCGTCGAGGCGGTACTACGGGAACCAAGGGGCACCTAGGATTGCGATTGGGAAGGGACGATAATACGACGACGGGGGGAGGGCGAAGGCAAAACTGCTACTCGCGGGTCATGGTGGTGGGGCTCCAGGCCCTCCAGCCGCGATCGGAGCGCCCCCTGCTTCGCCCTAGCAGCTTGGAGATACGCCTCGCGCTCCGTCAGCGCAGCCGCACGCTCCTCCGCCTGCTTCCTCGCAGCAGCAGCCCGAGCAGCCTCACGCTCCTCCGCCTGCTTCCTCGCAGCCGCAGCCCGAGCAGCCTCATGCTCCTCCTCCTACTTTCTCGTAGCAGAAGCCAAAGCAGCCTCACGCTCCTCCTCGTGCTCTGCGTCCTCGCTCTCCGCCTTCTCCCGTGCTTCCGCGTCTGCGACCTTTCTGGCAAGACCGTTGCGCCACATCTCGTTCAACGCTTGATAGGCCATAAACTCATCGTGGGATAAGAGGAGCACTTTTTCTTCCGGGGGAAGCGAGAAGGAGGAACAAAAAGGGGAAAATAAGACGACAGACGGGCCGCTACGACAGCATTCTCCAGAGAGATACGTCCAGTGTTGTAGGCCCGCTCCAGTTCCGCCGGATCTGCCGTGGCGATGTTGGCCAGCAAATTATCGACGGTGAACACGATGGGCATGTCGCGGCTCTCGTCTCCCGCACCGGCCGCTGGAAACTGCTCTGCGGTGGGAGCTTCGCCCTCGGCTTCGTAATCCAGGATTTCCACATTGTCGCCCAGGAGTTCAACATTGCCGATGGCCGCCGAGGCGCGTATCCTTTGCAAGGTCCCAGTCCCGCGGGCGCTTCGCAAAAGCATCACAAGCCAGCATCTCTATAGGAGAAGAAGCAGAGAAGAGGCTAAATCTAGATTCTCGTGGGTGGTGAGACCAAACAACAAGCAACCCAGTGGCTGTGAAGAAAGCGTGGCAACAACACACGCAGTGCGGAGGCCGCGTCCAGCACCCGCTTACCGTGTAATGCCAGCTGACGCCAAGTTTAAAGGAGGTGTAGCCATGGGCGGTAGCTTGCTCCTAGAGATAGATGAAGGTTCTGTCGTTGACACACTTGTCCACGACCACGTTGAGATGGGAAAGTTGCTTGTTATTGCTGAGAGACGATCAGCAAGGGTCTGGGATGAAGTGGGGATCCAACTTCATCTCAGGGGGTACAGTACACGGAGTAGACAATTCAAAGACCCCATGCCAGTGGGCTTCGGCGGCGGCCGCGTGGCGGTCCGTGTCGAGGAAGCACGTCTTGCACATCAATACTCCTGTCTGACCCTCGAAAGCGCAAAACTCCTCGCATGTGCACCCTTTGAGCTTTCGCTTTGGGCATGCAGGGTTCATGCACAACAGCTGTGACTTTAACTGGACGCTACCCAAAACCTTCCCCGTAGGCTGTTGTCTCTCCGACGACATAGGCGCTTTCCCGCCCTTCCTGATGGTTCCCACGTCGCATCTCTTCATCAGAATCTCAGACAACTCTTCGTCCCAATCAGCCCTCTCCCTCTTGCACAACTCGGTCGCACGCCAATCCCAACCCTCCCCATTTTCGACGCGAACAAATGGCAATGCACAAAATTCACACCCACGCGAAGGTCAAAAAAAAATCGAAACTCACGCTAGAGGTACAGGCTTGAAGTGGTTGATGCCGCCCCCTTCTTCCCCCGTCTCCCCGATGTGGACCGTGCTGCAAAGGAGAATCTCCTTCGAGTCTCTCCATTGCACGAACGCCATCTCAACCGAGCGGCAGAAGGTCATGTCGTCCGGGTTGGGAGTCGTACGCCCGAGGCTCTCCATGTACGGGAGAGCGCCGCACGTCCGCGGGCTGCGCCAGGTACCCACGGCGAAGATGTCGTGTGACGCGAGGCAGGTGAACAGGGTGGGCGAGGTGAAGTAGTTGTCCATTGCGATGAAGACGCTGGAACCGACAAGCTTCCCGCGCAGCGTCTCGCACTCCTCCAGCAGGACGTGAAGCACGTGTCGCGTGGTTTTGCCGAGGGGGCAATCCTCCAAGGGTCTAAGGGAGGGATCACCTGTGAAGCTCCCGTCGATGCTGTTGATCAAGCAGTATCCGTTCCTGTCGGACGCGGCATATTGCTTCATCCCTGTCTCGCGAAGGAACAAAAAAAGGGCAAACAAACGAGAACCGAAAAACACGAAGCATAGGAAATGAGTGGTGTTATTCCAGTTGGAGGCTTGTGCACGAAGGCGTCATACGAAGCTTCCGCCCGGCGTACGTGTGTACAGTATCACTAACGCACAAAAGGTTCTATAGCAGAACGCATGACACATGCGGCAGATCGCGGACAGACTTCGAAACGCCAGGGGCTGAGCTCGTCGACGACCTTGCACGTCCTACGTCTCGACAGCGCCGAACACGTACGATGAAAAACTGGCCTCGACACCTCCCGATCTGCACTAAGGACCGGGTGCAGACGGATAGGCGGGGTACGCCTCCGTCAACAAAACATGGTGTTGGTTTTGACCAGGGCTAATTCCACGAAAAAACAGGATCTCATGCATGTCTGCAGGGGGCGGCTGTGGGGTCACAGGGGGCGTAGTTGAACAAAACGGGTTTTTCTCACCGTGTGTGATGGGTTTCGCCGGGTTGAAGTGAGCGAGTCCTTTCGAAAACGTGCTTACTGTCTTCAACACTTGTTCGTCGTAGCACAACCACTGACCCAAGTCAACATNCCAGGGGCTGAGCTCGTCGACGACCTTGCACGTCCTACGTCTCGACAGCGCCGAACACGTACGATGAAAAACTGGCCTCGACACCTCCCGATCTGCACTAAGGACCGGGTGCAGACGGATAGGCGGGGTACGCCTCCGTCAACAAAACATGGTGTTGGTTTTGACCAAGGCTATTTCCACGAAAAACAGGATCTCATGCATGTCTGCAAGGGGCGGCTGTGGGGTCACAGGGGGCGTAGTTGAACAAAACGGGTTTTTCTCACCGAGTGTGATGGGTTTCGCCGGGTTGAAGTGAGCGAGTCCTTTCGAAAACGTGCTTACTGTCTTCAACACTTGTTCGTCGTAGCACAACCACTGACCCAAGTCAACATTTTCGGACCACGCGCGGTTAAGGATCTTCTCCAGGTCCCTGCGTTAGCAGCAAGAACGACAAAAAATTGTAAACAAGTTCTCCGACGGTTCGCTTTTTCGTATTCGCGCATCCAGTCTATATCTCGAACTTGCGCGCATGACATGCAAGCACCAACATGCTGTGATGATTGTATGGGAGAACATCCTGCACGCATGCCGTTCGCCCGGCTACTCGACAAAAAAAAGGAAAGCACTGCTAAAAGGAGAAACAGAACGGGCGTGTAGAGGGGGTGATCCAGCGTAAGATGTCGTTGCCCCCACTACAGCAACAAAACATCATTGAAAAAAAAAAAAAACGCACGGCAAGGTTATCTACATCGGACAAATGCATCCGGACAACATATATTCACCTGATATGCCACTTCGAGTCGTACTTCGGGTTGTCCTCTCCGGTCGGTAGTTGCCGCGGAGGGGCGTTGGGGTTCGAGTAGTGGAGGAACCGAGAGTACAGCAGCTCGAACAAATCGCGCTGCATGCACTTCCGCACCAAGGGGTAGTTGTCGTGGGCCGACTCGCTCCAGTGCTTTCGCATCCATTGTGCGGTGCGCGCGTGACGCCTAGCACTTTCTACAGCGCGCCATGTACAAGCGTGGTATCTACAATCCCCGTCGCCGGGAACTTCATGCACTTGGGCCCCGTCTGGGGAGGTGTACGCTCGACGTGACCCGTTCTTTCTTTCACTGCAGTTCACCCTATTTAAACCCTATTTTTTTCTGTTTCTTCGTGGGGTCGTGTATGCCGGGTTTTGAGACCACGGGCTCCCAATCTTTATTTTTTTAAGAGCTAATGTGAGAAACAACAAACAACAACAACAACCTTGAGAAACTCGGTATCCAGGTGCATGTGGTCCGCCACCTTACGGCCGAGCACAAGAGCTGGCGGGAAACGTTCCACGTTTCGCCGCACTCCGAAGCAGAGGGCCTCATCGTCAGAAGAAGAGGCAGCAGCAGCAGCAGCAACAGCAGCAGCAGCAGTAGAGGTGGCAGCAGCCATGGCGCAGAGGCGAAAAAAAGCCAGGAGAAACGCGAAAGGGACTTTCATCACACCAGCGCAGCAGTGGTCTGCCGCGCGTATAAGACACGGTCTGCAACTCTTACAGTTTTCGCCCCCCGTCTTGCTGCAGCCCCTGGGGTGTGGTGCAGGGCGGGGGATGCCTGGTCGGCGGGAACCCGGCACGGAACCCTCCGGCGTTGTAGGCGGGTGTGGGAAGCGTTCCCCGTTCTCCTTTTATTTTATTTTGATCGGTCTCCTCGACGCTCTTTCTCGTTTGGTGCGGTAGCTGGTCTTTCTTTCTATCATTTTGTTTCTCTTCCGAGTGGTTTTTGTACCCTATTTTTTTCTGTTTCTTCGTGGGGTCGTGTATGCCGGGTTTTGAGACCACGGGCTCCCATTTTTTTTTTTTAGAGCTAATATGAGAAACAACAACAACAACAACAACAACAGAGGTGGTCTGCGAGAGTGCAACTCCCGCTCTGTGTTTTTTTTGCGGAGGGATTCTGCTTCATGTGTCCCCGGGTCGCGAACGCGCTCCTCGAGCGCGATCTATTCGCCCTTTTCGAGCCTCTTTTTCAGCGCGAATTTCGAAAAAAAGTTGTCCGACAGGAAGAGGAGCGTCACTCTGACCATCACTCCAGAGGGGGGTAGTCACAAAAGGGTTAAAGTGAAACAGAAAAGAAAAGGTTCAATGGCATTTTTGTTGAAGAACGAGGTTTGGCAGGGCAGAGTGGTCTGGTGGTGCCGCATCGCGGACGACATGTGAGTTCCTCGGCGAATGTCTGAGCAGAAGCAGAAGGAAACACGAAAACGCGCCACGTTCGTGACGTCAATGACTTCTTGACAAAAACGTCCAAAGAAACGACCAGAGATCCTAACAAGCACTTGGTTTTGAGAAGAAATTCAGATCTTGATTTCGAACTTGCTCCCGACTTCCCCGAAGACTTGCCCGAAACACCCTACAGCATCAGCAGGTGCGTGCTTGTGCTCGTCCGATGGACACGGCGACAAGCCACGTTATGACGCCATCTCACGCGAATGTCAATGAATCTCCGCAACTCCATGACACTCCCAAGGAAAGTATCCGGAAAGTTCTCGTCCTACTGTGCCAAATCATAATATCTTCGATATTTCGTGGGCAATATATAATGCAACTTGTGGAGAGGGCAAGAACAGACCACCTTCCTTCTGCCGGCAGAGCATCTCGCGCCCTCGCATCTGGTGGGTTTACGACAACTCCACCTGCCTAGTGTTCTGTTGCCACACCAATGCACATTTGCCTTATTGGACGAGGATCCAGGAAGACCAATGAACTGGCGGCGAAAATATTATGGCGGGACTGCAGTCAAGTCCCGGTCCGCAACTCCAGCAAGATACGATAACCTGATAACCTGGCTGTGAGATGATGTCGCCGGAAAAAAACCAACAGGAAGCGGGAAGCGAGGCTGTACTTCCCTTTTCCTTCGTCAAGGAGCTTCCCTTAGCAAGGTGAGGCCGCGTACGCCGTAGGATGGCAGGGACAGAGGACACCACGCACGAAACCCTCTCTGTCGTGTGCGTAGTACCTGTCGCGCTTTTTGGTAATCCTCGTGGTTGCATAAACTTCGATTGCGAGATTGGAGAGTTGATGTGCCAGGTACCGGATAGTTCAAGATGCATAGTTTTCTTCCAGTCTCGTGAACGAGCACGCCTCTGATGCTGCTTGCTATGTACATGTGGAGCAACCTTCTCCCATCAACTCGGATCCAAGCGTCTCACATTTGGTTCGCCGGCCCTGTTCACCCGCTATACAAGTCCATCCACGATGCCATGTACAGTAGACGCTCCGAGTCAGCCTTATGTAGGGGAGAGTTTTTTCTCGCTGATTAAATCCTGCTTTCCGTTGGAAGCGACGCGCTGCAAAGTTCGTTCGTTGCTAGTAAACTCGATCGACTTCATAAGTCGCGAGGGAAGGGATTGCTGTACCCTTCTCGCGATAAACATATTTTAGGCAGGAACCGCAGGAGGGGGTCCAATCCCCCCTTCCTATGTGGCCCCGGTTGGGTCGTCTACGGAGGCCGGGATATTTATGTACACAACGTATGGACTGCTGCCGAAAGTACTTGAGTCGTACACTGAGATGATCGGCCCCAGCGAGAGACGAAGGGCTGAGCCAGAAACCGATCGGATCATTTGAGCGACTGCGGCGCTGGCGTATTCTGGCTTTTGGTCCAGTTTCCGCTACATGTGTTCATATGCGGGCGATATTTAGGAGAGAGCGGAGAGAGCGGAGCGGAGACTCGGAAAGCAGGGATGAAATTTTTTCGCTCTTGCTCTGCTTTGTCCGCTTGAGATGAAACGCTAGCGGGCCAGGCTAGAGACGAATCGGTCTGCCCATGAACGAATCGTGACTGACAGATAGATTAAGGCGTCCGCTGCCCAGTTGGCCCGGTTACCACAAGCGGGCGGGACAGACCGACGCAAAGAGAATAGATTATGCTGGCCTACATTTCTATGCGCATCGAAATCGTGCACACAATGAATGCAAGAGAGGTACCAAAGCAGTATGAACACTTGCCCTGCACACGGGAACGGAATGACAAGATGAAGGTGACGAAGGAATAAGAACCAGAGTACCGACCGTTCCCAAGACCGAAGATAACCCCACAGCTCCTCTGTCAGCAGATGTGCTGGATCCCGAAGAGACTGCTGTGGTGGTTTTGACTCAGGATGTGTCTTATCGACAGAATCAAGATCAGAAATCGAAATCAAAAATCAGTTTAAGTCCTGAAGAGTCGCCCAAATTCGCCCGCGGTGAATTATCGAGAAACCACCAAAATCAAAATCGAAATTGAGAATCAGGCTACTTATTAGGCCACTTGTTACGCTGTCTCTTTTTGGGCTGTTCCTTTTCTCAAAAAGGGACAACTAACCAAAAACCACTTGTTACGTGGTCTTTTTTTGCGCTTTTGAACCTCCCGAAAAGGGACAGCGAAAAAAGATCACCCCATCCTGTCCCTTTTTGTGCAACTTTGTCCCTTTTTGAGAAAAGGGACAGCCCAAAAAGAGACAGCGTAACAAGTGGCCTTTATGATGTGTCATTTTCGCCAGATTATTTTTGATCAATAATGATCTAGGTGTCACATCCGGCTCTTTTGTGACACCTAGAGTAAACCGGCCAATTAACGAACGCTTAAGCCACCCCTCGCGCCAACAGCTCGTTCTCGGGCATGAAGAGGAGTATGATGTATTTGTGGGTACCGGACGATAGCTTGTATTATAGGCTACCTCCCTAA